GGCCTTACATGCTTGTGAAAAATGAAGGTTCCTGAGCCCCACCCTGATCTTGTGATTCCAAATCTCTGTGGATGGGTTATAGGAATGCATACCACCCACTGTTTCCGAGGGTCATTAATAAACTGCTACAGATAAAATGATGATGAAGATGGACATCCTTTTCCTCATATATTCCTCTCAGACTCCTCCTTGTCCTCATAGGCTGATGTGAAGGTCAGTTAAAAGAAAGTGGGAGTAGCTATATTAATATCAGACAAAGTAGACATTAAGATAATGTACATCATGGATTTAAATAGGGCCCCTACACAATAAGAAAAGGTTCACTTCACTATGTAGATTAAAAAATTCTAAATTTGTTTATACATGCATCCAATAAAATTGCTTCATGTATATAACTTCTAAAATCTGCTGGAAATATAGGGAGAAACTGACAGGCCCCCCAACATAATGACAAACTTAAATACTCTTTAATTATTCTATATAGACCTAGTGGATGGAAAGTTCATTAAATCTGGAATATTTCAACAACACCATTGACAAGCTTCACATATTAAACATCTATAAAACTCTGTACCAAAAACAGATTGCACATTTATCTCGAACATGTATGAAATGTTTATAAAAACTGACCTCTTAGAAGGCCAGTAAACAGCCCTGGCCAGTTTGGCTCCGCAGTTAGAGCGTTGGCCCGAAGATCAAAGAGTCACCGGTTTGATTCTGGTCAAGGGCATGTACCTCAATTGTGATTGGATCCCTGGCCCTGGTTGGGATCCTGTGGGAGCAACCAACTGATGTGTCTCTCTCACATTGATGTCTCTCTCTCTCCCTCTCTCTCTGTCCTTCACTCTATGTCTAAAGATAAACGGAAAAACATCCTCGGGTGAGGATTTAAAAAAAAATTCAAATAAACAGTATCCTACAGACCACATTTCCTGACCACACCAAAGTTAACAAAGTCAACAATTAAAACATAAAAACAGCCCTGGCCGGTTTGGCTCAGCAGTAGAGTGTCGGCCCATGGACAATTGAGTCGCGGGTTCGATTCCAGCCAAGGGCACATACCTCAGATGCGGTTTGTCCCCGGCCCTGGTCAGGGTCGTGCAGGAGGCAACCAGTCAATGTGTCCCTCTCATGTCGATGTCTCTCTCTCTCTCTCTCTCTCTCTCTCTCTCCCTTTCTCTCCCTCCCACTCTATCTGAAGATAAATGGAAAAATATCCTCGGGTAAGGATTAAAAAAAAAAAACATAAAAACATCAACACACATTTGAAAATTTAAAATAAGCCTCTAAATAAATCATGGGTCAAAGAAGAAATAATAATAGAAATTTAAAATCCTGAGGATGGAATAATAATAAAAATCTGCATTTCAAAAATTGCTGGGTACAGTAAAAAAAAAAAAAAAAGTACATAGAAGCAAATCTATAGCTTTAAATATTGAGACTAGAAAAGAAGAAAGGCTGAGAATCATTGAGCTGAGCATCCAACTGAAGTTGGAACAAGCACACCGAAAGTAAATCCAAAAACTAGAACAAGTAACAAAGAAGAGAAATTAATGAGATAGAAAGTGAATAATGTCACAGTTGGTTCTTTGAAGTAATAACAAAACAGACGTTCTCCTGGTGAGGTTGATTCAGCAAAAACCAGGGAAGGCACAAATAACGTTAGAAATAAAAACAATACAGAAGTTCAGATCTTTCTAAAGTGCCCAGAGCAAACCAGGGATTCAGTCCAGACTAAAACTCGGGCTGAACTCCTTCCTCCAGGACCCACAGCAGAGCACATCCACGCTTCGCAGTGCGAGGACAGAATGCTGGGGCACTGATGTCATGGGCTGGGTGTGAGAGAAGCAAAGCAAAGACACATGAAGCAAGCGGACAGCCCCAGAGATGGCAGCAGCCTCCACTGATTTCAGCGGAGCAACTACTCCCTCAAATGGACTTTCCTTTGATTGTGGGAGAAGCACCCCCCCCACACACACACACACACACACAATCCATGATATACAAGCAAGCATTTAAAAATCCTAACATTAATTCCAAAGACTCACTCCCTAGGCAATGACTTGAAACATCTGGGCGGCGGGGGCTCAGGTTTTCTCTGCATTGCACCACGCTTTATTCTGCCCAGTGCCTGGCCACCAGACAAGGGTGAGGTGCAGAAGGTAGGCCAGTCTGCCTTGAGGAAGTCAGATGTAGATGAATAGCATGGCTCTGCCTTGAGCAGCAGAAACAGTGGGGGAGCTGGACCCAAGTGCCTGGGTACTTGGCACTGACTCCCGGCTTAACTCCTTGGCCCCGTTTTGCTTTGTAGGATGAAAAGAGGGTAGATGAGGTTTAAGTGCCCATTTCGCAATGTTCACATCAAGAATACAGAAAACCATTTCCAGGAAATGAAGGCACAGCCTCCCCATCTGCTGGTCTGGGTGACTGTCTTCCTGACACCATGAAATGAAACGAAAGGGCACATCGGCCAGAGGACCAGGAGAGCAGAAGTAGGAACTTTCAAGGAGAGGTCCTGCAGCCTCTGAAGCGGGAGCGATCTGGGAGCCACACTGCCTGGACTTGTTCCAAGGACTCGGAGCGCCGCCTGGAGGAGAGGGGACCAATTTACAATCAAGACCCCTGGATCTGAACCCAAGTCAGCTCCGGATGGGTCTGGGACTCCCACAGGTCCCATCACATTTCCTGCCTCAGGTACTCCCTCTATAAATCCAAGACAACAGTATCTCCCCCACAAAGGCACGAAGATGAAATATAATAGCAGCTGTATGGAGACGTTCTGGAATCCGGTTGCCTCCCCCATCTTAGAAACTCCCTTTCTGTGATTAATATGTTTGACTTCAAGTCTCAAAGAACTCATTGGGTACATGGTGTTAGCCAAAGATAAAACTGAAGTTCCTTTAGTCATTCTGACAGAATATGAAAGGACAAAAGCGAATTGGATCGTATTCTAAACCAAAGATAGCCAAATATTTTCCATGCAGAACTCTGAGAGAGAATGGGTTGTCCTGGATGGTTGGACTTCCTGAGTAGATGGCGAGGGGTGGGGGTGTGGGGGGGTCCTCTTAAGAATCAAAACATTAAAAACAAACCAGAAGAAGCAAACAACTTGGGATTTTTAAAAGTCTCTCTAATACACTTCAAAAATGTGTGTGTGGCCTCCAGGAGTGCATTCTGAGTATTGTCTTACTTTTCCTTGAAGATTTTTATCATCGTTCTGAGCACCCCGAGCAGCCATCCAATGATAACACAGATGGCATCTGTGGGACTATAATGTGCTCTCCAACCTGTAATTTTACCGATGAGAACCCTAAGCCCTGAGAAGCTGATTGGCCCAAGCCGGCCGGTCTCTGGGGACAGTGCCAGCACCCCGGTCTCTTGACCCTTCACCCTCCACACTGCCTTTGAGGAGCCACTGGCCTTCAAAAGATCACCCGCCCCTCCTTGAAATAACCCCAGAATGCTTGAAACATCCCCAGAACCCCAGAATGTTTCTAAAGTACCTGTCTGGGCACTAACTTACACATTTTGTATTTTCCTTCTCTGATGTTGTTCATAAATCATGTTTGCTCATGGAAACACCACTCAAGTGTGTGTGCATTTTGCTTTTAAGGCTCCTTTTACTTTGAAGTTTAAGTGTCTTCAAAAGTCAGGTGTCGACTCTCCAAGGAGGCCTTCTGCTTGGCCCGGGAAGTAAGCACCAAGCAGCCGCGCTGAAGGAAACAGAAGCGGCCACCTAACAGAGCAGCGGGAAGGACGTAAGGCCGGCTCCTACCCAAGTCCACACCCTGCCCTTTTGATCCATTTCAACTGTGAAATCCCAAGCAAGAGACCCCCGCAGCTGCTAAAGCAGTCCCTCGCAGAACTCCCGGACTTAGCAGACACTGGCCGCGGGCATGCCACACTGCCTTGCTGGGCTGCCCGGGGTTTACCTCTAGAGCCCTTAGCGAAGGACCACACAGAGTGCGGCAACACATCCACACACATGGCATTATAGAACATGCATGTCCTCAGAGATCTACAGTCCCCACCCCCGAGAGATGAGGTCACCAGACCAAAGGACACCATTACCACCCCATTATTCAAGTAGGTGCTTAAAAAATGTTAATGTCAATAAATAATGTCTTTCCTAGTTTGCCTGAGCACATTCGATCATTTTTTAAAAATTAAATTGATCTGTGATTACAGACAAAGTTCAATAAAACTGCTCATCCCTCCACCCAGGCCCAACAGAGGCTGCCCCTAGGTCTGGAACTCAGGAAGGAGAACCTGCCTGGACATACCAAGGGAAACGTGGGGGCTGCCCCTGCCAGGCCCGCAGCCACCGGGGGGCGGGTCCACTTTATAAGGCTGGTAGCCTCTCCTGGTGTGTGCCTGTGATTTATTAGCAGGGGGGGGGGGGGGGGGGGGGGGAATTAAAACTCTATTCAAAACCGCAGCTTTCCCAACTTCTCTCAGATGTTGCTCTTTGCCCCAAAGCAATTTTACCAAAATCATTCCCTGGAGAGCTTCGACCTTTGTCCCTTTGCATTTCAAATAATCATTTTGGCAACTGAAGAAAGTTGCGCTGCCTTCAAAGGTAGGTTTCTCCTTTCCTTTGTCCCCTGGAGGCCATGAGCCAACAGGGACCCGCTCCAAGTCGCTGGCAGGGGAGACTGCAGGTCTCCGCCGCCAGCGAACCCCTAATTCCAGTGAGTGCGCAAACCCATCTCAGCGATCACGGTGCCTCGGCTCCTGGGAAGGTGCGTGCGCAGCATGTCGGGACTGGCCTCTGGAGTTTCTGTCACATCCCAAACCCCAGCTTCTCCCCGTGAGCGCGCTAGCGGAGCAGAGGACGCGGAAGGCATCGCCCGGGCAGTTACAACGGAGCAAGTGTGGGATGACCCGGGTTGGTGCCCGGAGGTAACCAACAGGTCCCAGCCGCACGGACCTTCGCTGGTGGCCGCTGGTCCCAGGGCCGGGGCGTCCCGCCCGCACCCGCCCCGGGCCGCGCGCCCTACCTCGCTGACGACGGTGGAGTGGGCCTGGGCGTAGCGCCAGCCGCCCTGGCAGGGCACGAGCGGCGCCGTGCGGTTGGGGAAGGCGGCGAGCGGGTCGCTGCAGCTGAGCGCGGGGCCCGAGGCGTTGGCGGGGCCCTCGAGCTGGAAGCGCTGGCAGGCGCCGTGGCCCCGGCGCTCGGGCGCCGTGCGGTTCCACTCCTCCTCGGGGCTCCAGCCGCAGCGCTCGGCCAGCGCGGCGGCGCTCGGCCCGCGGCACCAGAAGCGGTCGGGCTGGCTGCCCAGGAAGACCACGGCGACGAAGAGGAAGGCGAAGGTGACGCCCGTCAGGCACAGCAGCAGGAACACGCGCCGCTGGAAGCGCCCGAACTCGCCGGCCCGCTGCAGCGTCTCGTCGAAGGAGGGCATGGTGCGCGCCCGCCCGCCGCCGCCGGCCCGCGAGTGACCCGCGCGCCTCGCGGCCGCCGACTTTACCCGCCGCCTCCCCCGCGCTCCCGCCTCACGCCCCTGGGCGCCGCGCCAGCGGCCGCCGTCCCTCCGGCCCCCGAGGTCCTGGCGCCCGCAGCCCCCGCCTCCCGCCCGCCCGGGGATGCCCGCCACCGCCGGGGCCGCGCTGCCCGCGGGCGCCGCCGCGGGGTCCGGGTGGGCGCGCGGAGGGGCCGGGGCAGACCGCCTGGCTGAGCGCCACCGCGCGCCTGGGACCCGGCCCGGGACTGCGAGTGACAGGCACAGCCTCCGGCCTGGCGCGGAGCTCCATTCGGTCACTGCCAGCAGCCTGCTCTGCAGTCGCACCGGGTCGGGCTCCTGGCGAAGGAAGTGCCAGGGTCAACCAACTACTCCCTGGCTCCTCAGACTTGCGGGCAGCCCAGGGGACCTTCGACGCGCGCTCCGGGTCCAGCGCCTGTGCCCCGGAGACGCCCCTCCTGCCTCCTCCTCGGGGCACAGAGGCCGTTCCACGAACCCCTGGGGCCAGGCAGCCAGTTCCTAGAACAGTGGACCGATTGCACAGCTAGACCACGTGAGATTCGGTTTAGGCGACATCTCAGATGGTCCAACTTTTTCAAAAGGGCAGCTGGTAAACCCAGAGGCTAGGCGTTTTGTTCAGAGGCCCGAAGTGCAAAGTGTGACAGGTGTCCTTAGCGAAGACCTTACTCTTGACCTGCAATTGCCTAGAAATGGGGCTGGTTGGTCTGCAGAGTTGGTTTTAACTCTTTTATTCCTTCTCAAAGAGCCACCGACCTGCCGTTCCTGCCCACACTAACCTGCCTTCCCTGCCCAGGTTGCCCACCACCTCTAGTCTGTAGCCTTCTCATGGTGGTGACAGCCTGCCTGCCCTGGGGGAGCCTCCTACCTCTCCAGGTGTCCTTTGAGAATTTCTCCAGCTCTTCCCTCAGACCCCCACCCCACCCTCAAAAAAAGCCTTCTACCCTTTGCTTGCTTGTCTCCAAGGCTGAGAGGCTAATAGAGCCCAGATTTACTGTTCCCCCTCCACTGGGAGAAAGGACTCTGGGCCGCTAGATCCAAACCAGCTCCACCCCTCACCAGCTTGTGACCTCAGACAATTTAGCCAACCCCTTTTCCTCCTCTGTCAAAGGAGGCTCATACTCTCCTGGGGTCTCTGTGAGGACTGAATGAATTAAAATACATGAAGTATATTCTGCCCTTTTATCAACTGTAGATGTTCTCCTGTGACTTCTTTTAACTTTGTTTCTAGTGTCGTGGTGACTACAAAAAGCTTAAATTCAGATGCAGTAAAATATATAAATGTTCTTTAGAGCTTCTGCTTTTTGCATCTTGCTTAGAAATGTGGCATGAATGTGTTACTGGGCTCTTTCTTCTGTTCTATTTCTCCATTTGTCTGCCTCCATGCCAATATTCCACTAGTAATTATGAGCATTCTACAATAAGTCTTACTATGCGGTAGGCCAAGTCCCACCTCTTTGTCCCTCTCCTTGTTCTTCTCCAGAATTATCTTGGCTATTTGGTGTGGGTTTTTTTCCATATAAACTTTATTTTATTAAGTTTCCTAGAAACTTGGCTGGGATTCTATTGAAAAGTATTTGTGCATTTTATTTCTCCCATTACTTTGAGGGCATTTTGAGCGAAAAGTTAAATCACGTTCATCTTTCTTTTTTTTTTTTTTTTTTTTTTTTATCCTCACCCGAGGATATTTTTCCATTTTTTATACAGATAGAGTGGGAGGGAGAGAGAGAGAGAAACATCGACGTGAAGAGACACATCGAGTGGCTGCCACCCGCACGACCAACCAGGGCCGGGGACAAACTTGCAACCGAAGTACGCGCCCTTAGCGGGATCCGAACCCGGGTCTCTCCGGACCGCAGGCCGACGCTCTAACCGCTGAGCCAAACTGGCCAGGGCAATCACGTTCATCTTTCTATCTTAAAACTTTGATATCTGTTCCATATCTGGGCTGTCCAGTATAGTGGCCATTAGCCATCTGTGGCTACTTCAATGTAAATTAATTAAAATTAAGTAAAATGAAAAATTGTGTTCCCTATGAGCCCTGTTTCAAGTACTCAGGAACCACACGTGGCTAGTGGCTAACGTAACTACTGGACAGTACTCATCTAGACAGACACCAGGAAGAGCTTGTTGAATAGGAACAATAAGAATCTGCTGGCCTACAACCTTTAGCTTTTGTAACACATACTGACTTTAACCCTTCTTGAAAAAGTAATCGTTTGGATTTATTCATCTAAAGTTTTATATAGTTGGTATTTTTATTGCATTTAGAAATAGATATACTAGGTATTGGGGTATATTCACCAAATATTGACTTACCAAAATATGTCAAAATGACATGATGCTGTTTGTAAATAACAAAAAAATTAGTGTGTTTGGACATACTATCATTAATGTTGAGATAAAACTTTTTTTTCAAAGATCAGTTGAAAGAAACAACTTAGGTGCCCATCCATAGATGAATGGATAAAGAAATGTGGACCACAGATACAAAGGAATGTTACTCAGCTGTAAAAAAGAATGAAATCTTGCCACTTGAGACATCATGGATGGACCTAGAGGGTATTATGCTAAGTGACATAAGTCAGACAGAGAAAGGCAAATACCACATGACTTCACTTATATGTGGAATCTACAAAACAGAATAAATGAACAAACAAAACGGAAACAAACTCATAGATACAGAGCATGAACTGATGGTTGCCAGATGGTGGGGGAGTGGGAGGGTGGGCAAAAGAGGTGATGAAATTAAGAAGTACAAACTGCCAGTTATAAAAATTAGTCACGTGGGTGTAAAGTGTAGCACAGGGAATACAGCCAATAATATTGTAATAACCCGTATGGTACAGGTGGGTCCTAGACTTATTGGGGGTATACAAATGTCTAGTCACTATGTTATATACCTGAAACTAACATAATATTATATGTCAACATACAACAATTTTTTAAAAGATCAATTGAAAAAAAAATGGCAAGTGAATTGGTCCATGTGCTCAGGCCTAAGCAGGGGGGATGAAAAAAAAAAAATATATATATATATATATATGGGTGGTTTTTAACAAATGGGTAAGAATGTTTGAAAAATTCTCCTTTTTACCTTATTTGGCATGGAATAGATTTTTTCCCCCTTAGCATGTGAATGTAGTAAAAACTACAGAACACGCCCATTATTACATGGCCTAACACTAGACTCTCACACTGACTTAGATTGCCCAGTATTCACAATATCTTTCTTTGGCACATTCTTTTGCTGGTTGATTACAATTTGGAAAGCTTCTGTTTGTTGAGAAAATATTACAAATACTATTATCCTTTTGAAATAGATGTTCTCTCTCTATACTTGAAGTGTCTAAGATCTTAGATTTAAAGCCATCTTTGGAACAGAACATACAAATGGCTAAGAGACATATGAAGAAATGCTCAACATCACTAATCATCAGAGAGATGCAAATTAAAACAACAATGAGGTATCACCTTACACCTGTCAGAATGGCCGCCATCAACAAATCATCAAACAACAGGTGTTTGCGAGGATGTGGAGAAAAGGGGACTCTAATACACTGCTGGTGGGAATGCAGACTGGTGCAGCCTCTATGGAAAACACTGTGGTGTTACCTCAAAAAATTAAAAATTGAATTGCCATTTGACCCAGTAATCTCACTTCTAGGAATATACCCTAAGAAGCCTGAAACCCCAATCAGAAAGAATATATGTACCCCCATGTTCACAGCAGCACTATTTACAATAGCTAAGGTCTGGAAACAGCCCAAATGTCCATCAGTAGATGAATGGATAAAAAAGCAGTGGTACATAAATACAATGGAGTACTATGCAGCTGTAAGAAAGAAAGATCTCTTATCCTTTGAGATGACATGGAGGGACCTGGAGAGTATTATCTTAAGTGATACAAGCCAAGCAGAGAAAGACAAATATCGCATGATATCACTTATTTGTGGAATATAATGAACATAACAGTCTGAGGAACAGGGTAGTCCCAGAGACGTGGAAGTAGGGTACAGACTGACAACCCTCAGCAGATGGGGTGTGGGGGGGAGATAAACCACAGAACTTATATGCATGTACGCATAACCAATGGACATGGACAACAGAGCTGGGCATGGGGTGGGGGGGTGGGAAGGAGGGTGTCAATGGGGAAAAAGGAGAAACATCTGTAACAAAAATAAATTAATAAAAATAAATAAATAATAAAATAAAGCCATCTTTGGAGAAGATGGTACCCATGAAGAAAAATGCCGAACAGGACTGCAGTAGTCCAGAGCTGAATCCTGACCAGGTAGAAAAGCTCAGTGAAGCCTCAGAGACTTCCAGGGTCACATTTACCCCCCTCACACGTGCAAAAGCAAGTCCCTCCCCACTTTCCTTTCCCACGCGCGTAAGTTTCCTTTTGTTTTGCTATTATCACAAGTGAAGGCGAGGCACCTCTTGGAAACCTTTCATCGTAGATGGTTTAGACCAGGCCTGGTACCTAGGTTTCTTCTTCCGCCCCACTCCTACCGTTAGGCAGGAACTCAACAGAGCGCTGATGAGGATGACCATGAGGCTGATGGAAATAGGCCACAACCGAGTAGGAACGTCAGGCAGAGGAGAGGGGGCGCAGTGGGAGCGCAGGGTCCCGCCTTCCACTGGTCAGGGCGGCCAAACTGCCTCACTGGGTCTCTTAGCATATCTGTGACTTTGGGGATTTGTAAAGGTCTCAGTGAAGGGCCACTGTGCTGTTAACTGCTAAAATATTGCCCAGAGGTTTCTTCTCTTGGACCTCATTATGGATGACATTGTCTTTTCGCGAGGTGTCTTCAATAGCTTGGTAATGGTCCCCCCTGGGAGGAGCATTCAAGAGAGATGGCCATTTCTGAATGCAATGCCAGTGTCCAGATGGGAGAAGGCAGGCTGAGGAACGGCCCAGGCATCGTTAAACCTTG